TATCTTAACTTGCTCAGACTGAAAAGGAAACACCTTAGTCCCTCACTGTGTGGCGCGTGTAAGAGAAAGTAAACAGAAAGTAAAAGCACGATGAAGTGGCATTACAAAGCTCCAGCCCATTAGATATTTGCAAACAGTGATCTCTTGACTGAGTCAATTCTCCCTGGCTGATGGCATGGACCACTGCTGGGTGCGGGGCCAGATGCCCTTCCTCTAACTAGTCCTATGCTGTGACTGAGGTCCATGTGCAGCAGACCAGTGCTCTCATTTGGTGTTGGACAGTTGCCATGAGCATCAGGCTGCCAGGTGAGAAGAAGGGCTCCTTGCTAGCTCTTTGGCTAAGAATTTTCCTGAAATGGGGAGTGGCTCCTACAAAAGCAAAGTCAACTATGGGTTGCCTTCAAGAAGTACCTGGGGCTGGATGCGCCAGCAGCTTCTGTAGGAGAAAAGGGCCAGCCAAAGAAACACACCCTGAGCAGAGCCAAAGAAACACACTTTGGCCCTGCAACCAGAACCAAAGAAATGCACCCTGACCCTGAAACCAGTGCCAGAGAAACACACTTTGTCCCTGGAATCAGAGCAAGTGAAAGAAATACACCCTGGCCCTAAAACTAGAGCCAAAAGGCTAAAAAGGACCAGTGAAAGAAACATATTTTGGCCCTGAAACCAGAGCCAAATCTGACCCTAAACCCGTGCAGAAAACCAACCAATCTCTGAGCAGGAGATCTAGCCAGGGATTGAAATCTGACCAATTCCCACCCTGGAAATCTCCCTGGAAAAACCCTGCCCCTAAGAAGCCCTATATAAACCCCATGTCTGTTCAGCTTGTGGCTGTCCCGCTGCCTCCTTCCCCCCTAGCAGAGGCAGCCACTCTCCTGGATTCTTCTCTCCCAATAAATCTCTTGAATGAGGTTTAGGTGAGATCTTTCACCAGAGCAGAGCCAACCCTGGGCAGAGCAGAGCAGGGAGCCACTCTCCTGGATTCTTCTCTCCCAATAAATCTCTTGAATGAGGTTTGGGTGAGATCTTCTTTCACCAGAGCAGAGCCAACCCTGGGCAGAGCAGAGCAGGACTCTAACACTTTCCCTGGCGAAGCAAAGTTCTTACACCCTGCTCTCAGGGGGACCAGAATTGTAACAACTTTGCTGGGGAAACCCTCTCCTGCAGGAGCAGAGCTGTAACACTGGGGAAGCCTTCCCTGAAGCAGGGCTGTAAGCTGCTATGCTTACTGTGGCCTGTGGTATTCCTTGGCTCCTGATTGCCAGATACCTTTTCTTCCGAGCTGTAACACTCAGTATTCTGAGCCTCCGGAGTGCCAGAATCCCTGTGGTAACACTTACAGCTTTTTCTCGCCATTTGATGTCAGAGGGATTACATATGCTCTTCTCTCAAATGTTTCAGGACCCAGCACCCTGCTTACTTATGCTTGTGCCTTCCTTGGCAGGCCTAGCAGGGAAAGTGGGACCTCAAAGAATCATTCCCTCAGGAAACAGACTGCAGCATCGGGGACCAGTATGGCAGTGATGTGGAAAGGCAGGAGGAGTAGGACACCCACCCATCCCCCTGTACCCTGTCTTTCCTTGGTGTCTGCATCTCAGACCCTCTTCAGCTTCCTGACTGCCCAGCCTCTGCCTCAGAGAGATTGGACTTCCTGGGTGTGATCCCCGATGGCCACTCTAACGCTGAGGGGAGCAGCCTGCGAAGGACACAGGGCAGGCATCCTGGGATGTAGGAAGGGAGCAGTGTGCCAAGACAGTCCAGGATGGGCCTGGGACAGCAAAGACGGCTGCTGACCTGCCAGCATCAGGCTCCCTGCCAAACACTAGGTTTAATCCTCAGAGTTAGTTCCCAGCCTCAGCAGTTCACACATGAGGGGATATGTTAACTTAAGAGTCCGGGGTGAATCTAGATCTCTGGGCTCCAAGCTCAAGGTTCATCTTGTGACAAGGATCACATTAAATCCTTGTTTAGAGGCCAGGGCCTCTGAGGCTACAATGTAAGGTGGACAGAGAAGCAGCCTACCGACTGCTGGATGCAGTGCACCTCTGGCCTGCTTCTGGACACTGAGAGGAAGAAAAGGCAGAAGAAATGGTGGGGTGCGTGAAAGGAGTCACCGAGAAGGACAGAGGCATGAAGATGGATAAGATCTTTTTCCTTCATTGAGGCTGAGGGGACCCCTTCAGTATCAGCTCTGGCCCCATCCCAGGCTCACTCAAGGTAAACATTTATTTTATGACTGAGGGGGTCCAGTGCCCAGACAAGTGGGTATTGGATTTCTTTCAGATAAACAAGCTTGGAAGATCCTGGGGTAGTAAGATTTCCTATTGGAAAATGAATAATACAAAATAGTATACAGTTAGGGGGGAATAAGGAAAATTCCTGCTCTCTGTATATACACAGTGATCGAAGACTAGGTCAACTGTTATGATGAAGCTCGAGGGGAACCTTGTGTGAGGGATCCTTGCGTGGGGGACCTTGGTGGATTCCATATAAAACATGCAAGGCAGACAGAGCTTAAGTGAGAAGTTTTATTAGAAAGGGAAGGGAGGTGGGAAGGAAAGAGAAAGGAGGTAAAGAGACGCAGAGACAGAGACGGGACAGAAGAGAAGAGGAAGACAGGAAAAGTCCTGCTGCCCCAGGGGAACCTCGGGGAAGAGGGCTGGGAGAGAGAGTAAGTGGGCAGAGGTCTGTCTTTTAGGGATCCTTTGCGTGAGCAGACTACGCAACCATGGAATCCTGGGCTGACCAGGATACTGCCTGAGTGAATTCTGCCAGGTGACGGGGCAGGCCGGCGTAATGCCTGAATCCTTACAATGACTGAAGGCCAGGTGTGGAGGTGCATACCTGTAATCCCAGTATTTGTGATGTGGAGGCAGGAGGATTGGGCATTTAAGGCCTTCCTTGGCTACACAGCAGGCTCAAAGCCAGTCTGGGCTAGATGAGATCCTATTCTCCCAACCCTAAAAGAAAAAGAAATTTTCCAAGAGCAGGGGGTACCATTGTCTCCAATCTCTCCTTTTCCAGATTTCTGAAACTGCCAGTGTGTGTCTCTGTGTAAGGACGATCTTTTGTGTATGTCACAAAGGGTCATTAATTATTAAAGAGACATTGCTAATCCTGCCATGTAGGTTTAATGTTTAGCTTGAGGGATGAAAGCATTGTCCCTCAACTTTGCACATGTTGTTTGGATGTTTAGGAAGGAAGGGGAGGGAGGGAGGAAGGAGGAAGGGAGGAGGAAGGAAATGGTGTGCTTTTGGTTTGCTTTTGTGACTGTGTGATGCTTAGACCTGAGCCGCCCACTGTTTGTGACAGTGACGCTGCTTTCTGTATCTTCCAGTTTCTGAAGATGGGTTGCTGATCCCTTGAGAAGAGGAGGTTGAGATACAGGGCGAAGACAAATCACTGCAATGTCTCACAGAAAAAGGAGCAGGGGAGAGTGGGGACAACCAAGGTGGCTTCCTAGAGGAGGCGGCCAGAAGCAAGGCCAAGAAGCAGTAGGTGTGGGAAAGGGAAACAGATAGAGCGCCTGGCCTTGAGTGGGCCTGGTTCCCCCATCTCCTTTTCCTGAGACTGAGCTGGAGTCCCTGCCTCAGCTGTGACCCTGAGCTCTGGGGAGGCCCAACCTACTCCAGCTTTGGACTCTGCCCAGGAATTTCCACAGAAGTGAACAGGCCAAAGCCCAAGCAGGTTGGACTCAGCCCTCCCCACAGCAGCCTGTCCCTCAGCCAGTCCTTCCTGACACCACCTGCTCACTACAGGATCCTCTCCTGCCTCTGCTGCAGCCAGGTAGCGGGCACTCCCCAGCGTGCTCTGCCAGCTTCACTCCTTGTACAAGTGTGTGTCTGGGGATATCCACTTAACCAGCGGGTGTTTGAATAGAGTAGGATACCCCCAAGGCTTAGAGAGGAGAGGGAACTATAATGAGAAGGGGGCTTGGGGGCTCTTATTTTCAGATGAGCTAAAATCTAAAAGCAGCTTTGTTGGAAAGGAAGTGTTTTTGTTTTTTTGTTTTTTGTTTTTGGTCTTTCGAGACAGGGTTTCTCTGTGTAGCTTTGGAGCCTGTCCTGGCACTCGCTCTGGAGACCAGGCTGGCCTCGAACTCACAGAGACCTGCCTGCCTCTGCCTCCCGAGTGCTGGGATTAAAGGTGTGCACCACCAACGCCCAGTGTGTGTTGGGTTTTGAAAGGAAAACCCAGGAGTAGGATTGGCTTCAGCTACGTTTGGATCCAGGGGCTGCTGGAACGGTGTGTTCAAGATGGATGAAACAAACACTTCATTCATTGGCAAGGGTTTTCAGCTGTTGCAGGAGTGATGGACATTATTAGGGCCTCTTTTCTGAACAGTGCCCATACCAAGTGCAGACACCACTCCTTCTTTTCCTTCTCGGTGACAAAGGGACAGTTCACCTTTTCTCCAGGAATACCCGAAGCTTATAAGAACTTGTCTCTCAGAGGATCAGAAGTGAGGGCAGGAAACACTCTCTCTCTCTCTCTCTCTCTCTCTCTCTCTCTCTCTCTCTGTTTGGCTCCTCTTATTCTCACCTGGCCCTCCCTTCAGCTTTGGACCCTTCCTGGCCTCTTTGTCTTTTAGCTGAAAAGCCTGGCACATGGCAGACGACACACGGAGGCAAAGAGAGTCCGTCTCTCTCACACCTGTGACTCATGGCCTGGAGAACATGGCGGCTGAGTTCTTGGAAAGCATGGTGCGTTTTCCCCTTCCCCCACAGCTTGACCACAGCCGATGGGTGGGAGGTGCCTTGGTCTACCAGCTTCCTCTACTTTGTCCTGCTAACCTCTGCTTTCATAGTGCTGCCCCCAGCACACCTTTATTTCACCCCTTAAACGTGTCCTGAGTACCCACTGTGTGCTGCCTTGCCTGTCGTCACCTGAAGAAAGGTCAGTAAATGTCCCAGGAGGGAAGAACATCCCATCCACAGGAAGAGGAGAGAGGTCGATGATGGGGTGGGGTGCCTGAGGGAGCCTCAGCTTTCAAGGAACTTGCAGTCTTGTCTTGGCTCCCCAAAGGTCAAGCCCAGGACCACAGCTCCAACTATGAAGCCTAATATGATGCCCTCTGTCCTCCTTCTCTTCCCTAACAAGGCTCCCTCTCCTTTACTGAATGCCCTCACTCCCCAAATAATTACATGGATAGTGAGGCAAGAGGGGTCCTGGAGTCACGTGGTGTGTGTGGGGGGACCTGCCTGGGACTTTCCTTAGGTATTCCCTTCTGGTTGCTAGGAAGCTACAGTGTGTCTGTACATAGTAGATGCTCAATGTATGCTTTGCAGAATTTAATTAAGTAGCCCTCTATTTCCCAAGCAAAAGTCTGGTCTCTACCTCAGTCCTCTCATGTGCACAGGGCAGCCAGTGTCTTTCCTATCTCTATGCCCTTCAGCCATAGTTGTCTCCTGGTGGGAAGACTGTCCCTGACTGCTCCCTGTTGGTTTTAGGAGGAAGGCCAGCTCCCACAGGGTAACTCAAGCCTGTCTGAGGGTAGAGACATCTGGGACAAAGCATCGAAGCCCATCTCCAGATGGTAGGTGATCTTAGTGAGGAACTCGGGTCACCAGGAAAAGAGGATGAATGGCTGTCTAAGGGAGGTCAAGGGGAAGTGAGTTTTGCAGGCCTCTGCCTTAGGGGTGACCCAGGCCCACGTGCCCACCTGCCTGCTTATAAGCAGCCAGGATGTCATTCCAGTAGGAAGCCCTATGTGTGCATGGGGCTTCTCAGGCCCCGAACTGGCCAGATCTCCCTGCAACCTCCCTCATTTGCCTTTACTCCATTCAGTTACTGAGCCTCTTTGGGAACTCCAAGACTACTAGTTTGTAACACTGCTGCCCTGGGCCAGACTTCCCACTTTACACAGAGGGGAAGGGACCAATCCACAGGGCCTGGTATGAACCTAGAGGGTCCTGGCTGGCCAAATCCAGCTCTGAGAAGAGCAGGAAGGACACCCCAAGGACAGGGTGTGTTGGTAGAGGGTTCTTCTAGCTTCTGGGGGGACTGGAGAGGATGCCTTGTTCCCTCCAGGTGGGGAGCACTTGGAATAGCAGCAGAGGGCTAAATTTTACCAGCAATGAGGTGCTTGGCCAATGGGACCCTAGAGGAGATTTGGGTAACAGCCCTTCTTCCAGGGACAGGCTAGTGACCAACTAACCAGAGGACAAGTGTCTATTCTGGACACCCAAGGCAGTGGGGATGACGGACTGCATACTTTTACACAACCTGTCTCTTGAGTAGGCACTGAGGACTCAGACAGTAAATGTTCCTGTCCCAGGGAACCAGTACAGGGTTGAGAATCTCTCCGTCTTGCTCACTGGGCAGGTAGAATCAGGGAAGAGGCTAGACAGCCGTGTTTGGGCCTCTACCTATTGGTTAGTTGCTTCCATCACCCCAGAGCATGGGTAGCCTTGCAGAGGCCTTAAGTCTCCACATGAGCAGAACCATGGTGTGTGTCCTTTGGACTGTGGTTGCTTTTCAGCCTTGTTGAGTAGCAAGGCCAGCCTGGGTTTATCCCATTATGCACTGGGAGCATACCTGAGTAGCTTGTACCTGTGGGTTTGGAGGCTCTCCAGTGGGGTGGAAGTTGGGGGTCACTTATGAAAGCTGGCGGATCTCTCCTCAGGAGGAGTCTACAGCTGACGGGGCGAGCGAGAAGCTTCTGCAGGGAGCACAAGCAGCTGTTTAGATGGGTCCTCACAGGCTTGCTCTGTACTGGTATGTTGGGGCCCACCCTACCCCATTTAGGAGACAGTTACTGCCTCTCTGGTCTTCACATTACAAACCAGGCTCATTCACTCACCCCATCAACCAATATAATTTGTAGAGCACCAACTCGGCCAGCTCAAGATAGGAGCTCAGGTCTCCATCAAGCCTGACTAGATCCCATTCCCTAGTCCTTCACCAGGAGCAACAAGCCACCTGGGAGGATGGTAACCTTCAGGGCTTTGGTCTTGGACCAGCTAGGTAGAGGGGAAGGCAATGAGGACTGAGACCCTCCCATACCTCACCCCTCAAAGCACAAAGGTCAGGGAGCAAAGGTGAAAAGCAGCAGGGTGTGGGCTTTGATAGTCTAGTGTGGCTGGAGGGTAAAGTTTCTGAAGGGTGCCCAGCCTGAGTGTCCTGAGGCTAGAGGACTCTGAAGAGCCTGGAAATCAGGAGCAAGGAAGGTAGTTGATCTATTCGAGAACTTGGATTTGAGACAGGCACGGAAGGATTTAAACTGAGAACTGTCCAGACTGACATCACGCCGTGAGCCCAAACATGGCTTCAGGAGAGACAGAAGACAATGGGGCTTCGGGGTGTGTGAGGATGAAATAAAGGCAGACTGGAGTGATGTGACAATCAAGGCAGTGATTGGTGCTTGCTGAACCTGGGAAGTGTGTGCAGGATAGACAATGGGGCTTCGGGGTGTGTGAGGATGAAATAAAGGCAGACTGGAGCGATCTGACAATCAAGGCAGTGATTGGTGCTTGCTGAATCTGGGAAGTGTGTGCAGGACGGAGAAGGTCTTGGGTTAAGGCTGCCCCTGCTTCCTGCTTAGATGATAGACACAAACTCACACATATAAACACACACACATACATACATAAAAACACACACACACACACACACACACACACACACACACACACACACACACACACACCATGACAGATACAACGGTTCATTCCACAGAGCACAGGTGGAGGAGATAGTCTCCACAGGGAGGGAGAGACCAAAACCTTTTGCTAGGGGTAGAGCGTCTAAGCCATGGGCAGATGAAGTCGTTTGCAAAGGATCTTTGCAGAATGATCTGAGAAATGGGTTAGGGACAGAAAGTCTGGGACCAGCTACATAGAAAGAGCTTGCAGAAGCCAAGGGCTTCAAAGAGGGAAAGACCAACAGTATGTCTGTAAAGGATCAGGGATAAGGGCTGAGCAGTGAGTGTCCACTGATTTAGGGACAGGGGTGTAAAAGTGGGCTTCAGGGTGGTGGTGCATACCTCTAATTTTACCACTTAAAAAGCAGAGGCAGGCAGATTCTGTGAGTTCTAGGCCAACCTGGCTTACTTAGGGAGTTCTAAGTCAGTCAGAGCTACATAGTGAGACCCTGCATTTAAAAATGGGAATGGATGAGAGGTCAGGCAGGGAAGACAGTAAGTATAGATGGCTAACTCTTTGGAGAAATACATTTGTTTGTTTGTTTTTGAGACAGAGTCTCACTTTGTAGGTTTAGGCTGGTTTAAAGTTTACTGTATCATGCAGGCTAGCCCTGAACTCATGGCAATCCTCCTGCCTTAGACTCCTGATTACTGAAATTCTAGGCATGAGACGCTATTCCTTGCTGAGAGCTAGAAGGAAATACCAGGGGTCAGGGTGTGTGACCAAAGGTTGAAGATGGCCATGTGTGTTTTGTTTTTTTTTTTTGTTTTTGTTTTACCAAGACAGGGTTTCTCTGTAGCTCTGGCTGTCCTGGAATTCTCTCTCTGTAGACCAGGCTAGCCTTGTACTAACAGAGATTTGCCTGTCTCTGCCTCTGCCTCCTGAATGCAGAGATTAAAGGCATGAGCCACCACCACTCAGCTTGGCTGTGTGTTCTTGATGGGAGACACTTTGAATGTATTTCTGAGCTAAAGGGACTTTTTAGACAGAAGGTGCCTGGAAGACTGGGAGGAAAGGCCAGCCTCATCTATATAGTGAATTGGAGGCCATCCTGGGTTACATTAGTCCTTGTCTCCAAAAATAGCTTGGTCAGGGAGATGGTGGCTCAGTGGCCAAACATACTTGTCACACAGGCCTGAGGACCTGAGTTCTATCCCTAACGCACAGGTAGGTGTATAAGGAGAGAACAGGCTCCCAAAAGTTGTCCTCTGACCTCTATACCTGTGCAGAGGTACCTGCATGCCAACCCATGATAAATTCCAATTTTCTTTTTAAATGGTCTGTGGTTACAGCTTACTTGGTAGAGATCTCACCTAGTGTGTGCAGAGCTCTGTGTTCAGTTCCAGCACCACACACAACTGGGAATCTTTGGCTACATGGCAAATGTTTTGCCCTCATGGGCTTCTTGTTGTTTGGTTGGTTTTAGGATTATAATAGTGGTTCTAGGAGGGAAGGAGGAAGGCAGGCCATGCAGCTAGAAAGGGTAAAGAGAGCCCTGTTCTGTGAGAGCTCCCTAGTAAGAGAAAGGGAACTTCATTTGTACAGGTTGACTTACACTTCAATTTTGTCATCCCTTGAGTTACCGGAGCTTGATTTCTGGGATCCTGGATTGTCCTTTGGAACACTTTCCAGGAGGCCCTGACCACTACCATTCTTCAGTGTCTACTGCAACTATCCTAGCTTCTCTCAGGGCAGGTGACTCTGGTGTCCCGTTTCCATAGTGTGCACCAGCCCTGGACTCCCACCTCCCCTGCTTTCTGCACCACTGTGAGAGGTTTTTCCAGAGTCCCTGTGCTTGCTGTGGGTATGCGATACTCATGTGCTCACAGGTTCTGCCTACCTTCAGGTCATACAAAACATTTCTCTCTGAAGGTCTGTGTCCTGCTGGGACTCCTTTCAGGAAGCAAGGCCTATGGTCCCTCGCCCCACCATGTCACAAACACCCTGAGCTCAGGCCATTGTGTCAGGTCCACCCCTGAATCTTCTCCAGGCCCCCAGCCCCTCGCTGTGTCCTGCTCTAAGTAACCTGGTAGCAGGTTGCAGGTGAATAATTTTCTTAAATTGCTTCACCTCACATTTTCCGTCGGTGGCTCAGTCTCTTCCACTCTTCAAGAGCCCTGGATTTTGAAACTCAAAAGTCAGGGAGAAGCATTCCCTCTCTGCTGTTGCTGTGTTCCTTTTCTGAGGCAAATACTCAGACAGGCTCAGTGGCCCACAAGAGAGCCAGGCCAAGGAAGAGGAAACTGCAGGACTAAAACTGTCATTGGTGAGGCTGAGAAATGGCTGTCAGTAAAGTGCTTGACACACAAGCTCAGGTCCCCAACATCCATGTAAAAACTCCATCATGAGTCTGCCCGTCTAGGTAGATGTATTAGTGGTGTTGTGGGGTATCCACCAGAGAAGACTTCTCAGTCACGGGTTCAACGGAACAGAAAGTCTTTATTAGCTGCATAGCAAATACGCTGGGTGTTTGGGATCCCCAAGCCTTTCTCAGGGTGAGTTTTTAAGCACAAAGACCATGTCCTGGGTTGACATACTCCTGTTAACAAGAACAGTTAGAAGCAAATCTACAGAAGCCAAAAAGCTGGGGGCAAACCCCCCCCCCCAATATTATTTTGTTGCTACTTCATAACTGTAATTTTGCTACTGTTATGACTCATAATCTAAATATCTGATAGCAGGTATTTATGACCCACAAGTTGAGAACCACTGTCTTCAGGGTTTCAAAGAGAGGAGGACAATCACGTTCCATGTAGTTAATGAGTAGTCAGTAATATGCGTTTGTAGCCAGGTTGCCTGGGCAGCAGGGAAGGCGGAAGCTATCCTCCTTAGCCAGCGCAGGGTCACAGCAGGGGGCTTATCAAGTTCCCAGAGGCTAGTAACCTGAGCTTTCTGAACTCTTAGAAATGAGGATTGCAGACCCACAGACCTATTAGGGTGCCTGCCATGTCTTTTACTGCAGCTGTGAGAGCAGAGAGAGGAGGAGGCTGTTATGGATGAGTGTGGCCTAAACCGAACCTAGCAATCCTATGCACAAGCATGCACACACACACACACACACACACACACACACACACCACATGTGCATGTATGAGAGGGAGGAAGAGAGAGATCGTTATCAACAGTATAGGGTAAAGGCACAATCTGGAGTCCAGGAGTCACTGACTCATCCAGCCTGGCCCGCTGGAGACTTAGCATGGCTCAGGCCAGTTGCTTTGTTGATGCCCATAATGTCATCCCCCAGTCTCTGCTACCACTTTATAACACAAAAAAGCCTTTTTTACACATTTTGCCAGGGCCTCAGGTATGCTGGACAAACCTCCACCCCTGAGCCATGTCCCCAGTCCCCTAATAACATTCTGACACAGTGGGGACAATTGTTTCACTTCCAGGTGAGGACAGCTAGGCTGGGAGGAACTGAGTGACAAACCACGCTCTGGGTTTAGAGTCATGGTCTTCCCCTGCTGAACCCACCAATGACTCCTCCTGCAGCGTACATTGCTTTCTTGATCACCGCCTGCCTCCTGGACTTCCAGAGGGCCCTGGCGCTGTTGGTCATCACCTGTGTGGTTCTCGGCTTTCTGGCCTATGATCTGCTGAAGAGACTTCTGGGGTCCAGGCTGAGGAGGTGTGTGAAGTTTCAAGTCCATTCTCGCCTGAGCCTCTGGCTGAAAAGGTGAGTGAACCCTCAGCCTTGGGCCTCCTAGAAGAAGGTGTCCCACTCTGCTTGTTCCCTGGAGCTCTGGGCAGAGGTGCTGGGTGGCTTCAAAAGCATTGGCCAGCTCTGGCGTCTTGCTAGTTTTTGTGATGCCACAGGTCACTGAGGGTTAAAGTCAGACTGATGAGAGTTTTCTATGTTCAAGAGCCTGGCCACTAAGCACAGAGGTCTTTCCATGATGTCTTATTAGGTAGATCACCAGGGGCCAGCTTATAAGCCAACTGCAGAGATCACAGACACCTGGGAACATCCCCAGTGCCCAGTTCAACAGGCTAGCTTGGGCCATGTGCCAACACTTTAAATTAGCCCCCAGGGGATCCTGATATAATTAGCCATGTCTCTGAATAATAGTTTGGTGTTTGATCCCTGGAGTCCATGGTGGAAGGAGAATACTAACTCCCTAAAGTTGTTCTTTAACCTACACACACACACACACACACACACACACACACACACACACACACACACTAGTAATAAATAATTTTTAATAAAACATTATTCTAATAGTTCTAGAACTTAAGAAATGGCTTGGTGGTTACAAACATTACCTCTATTGCAGAGGACTCTTGTTTAGTTCCCAGCACCCACACTGGATGGTTTACAAGTGCCTGTAACTCCAGTTCCAGGGGATCGACTGCTCTGGCCGCAGCAGACACCTATACACAAGTGCACATGCCCACCTCCCCACATATATACACAACTAAAAATAATAATAAGCCTTTAAAAAATTGTGTTTTGGAAACCACAGAAACTCCATAGAGAGAGAAGAGGGAGTGCCACCCTTTTCAGTTGCTATAACTAAATACCACAGACAGAGCAATTTATAGAGAAGAAAGGTTTACCTTGGCTCATGGTTCTGAAGTCTGAGAAGTTCAAGAGGTTGGCTTTTTTTTTTTTTTGACCTTATGTTTAAGCTCATGGCAGCAGAAGGGCAAGAGAGAGCCTGTAGGAGAGAAGAATCAGAAGAGGCCACCTTGATTTATACTACCTGCCTGCTCCCCATAGTAACTACTCCAGACCTGTGGAGTGACAATTCACAAATGTCCCCTACGATTAACCTGTTTCTGCAAGAGAGGACCTAATTATCTCTTAAAGGACTCTCCTTCCAGCACAGAGACAGTTCAATTTCACCATGAAAAGTCAGACATGGTGGTGAGTACCTGTAGTCCCAGCACTTTGGAGACAGAAGCAGGGGACTGGCAAGTTTGAGGCCAGCTTGGGCTATATAAGACTCTGTCTCAAAATAAAACAAATTCAACATGAGTTTTGATAGGAAAAACCACACCCAGACCATAGTATCCCTGCCTGGCCCACCTTGAACCCTGTGCTTTTCACACACACAACGTGGCTTCCTGTCTCAACTGTCTAGTCTTTGCTTGGTCAGATACCGACTGGAGAGTCCAGAGTCCAAAGTCTCATCTGAGGGTCAGGGCCAACTCCTCTTAGTGAGCCTGTAAATAAAAACAGGTGTTTACAGCAGGGCAGTGGTGGTGCACACCTTTAATCCTAGTACTCAGGAGGCAGAGGCAGGCAGATCTCTGTGAGTTCGAGGCCAGCCTGGTCTCCAGAGCAAGTGCCAGGATAGGCTCCAAAGCTACAGAGAAACCCTGTCTGGAAAAACAAAACAAAACCAACAACAGCAAAAAAAATCAAACAGGTGTTTACTTCCAAAATACATCAGGTGGGTAGGATACACAGTCTAAAAGGGTGAGAGAGACAGGAAGATGGGGAAACAGTACCAAGCAAGTTTGAAAAGTTTGAAGTCCAAGAAGGCAAGACCCTAATTTTTAAAATCTATCTTGTTATGTTATATTGTTATTGTGTGTGTGTGTGTGTGACACATGAGAGTTTTGGGTGGGTATGGATGTGTATGTGTGGAGGTCTGAAGACAACTTTTGGGAGTTAGTTCTCTCTTTCCACCATGGGGGTTGAATTCAGGCCATCAAGCTGGTGTGGCAAGCCGAGGCATCTTGCCAGCTCAAGACCTTCAGATTCCAGAATCGTTTTTCACTTCCTGCTGCTTCCTGGGCTCCTGGGATGGTTGGACAGTTTAGCCCTGTGACTTTGCTGGGCTCAGTCTACAGGGCTGTTCCCACGGGTCGGAATTGTACATTAATGCCTGTGGCTTTCCCAGGCTGATGTTGTATATTGCTCTTAGATCCATGGCTCTGGGGTCTCAGGGTGGTCTTATGCTACAGGCTTCTTACACCCACACCCACCTAGGCTGCTCCCAGCATCCTTTGCAGTCAGGAAGAAGTTAGGCCCTACAGTTCTTGCATCACCATGTGGACAGCTTGAATTCTTCCATATTCTGTTATTTGTACCTTCTACAGTGGTGGCACATTAAACTGGAAATGAGGTAGTTGCCCAGAGAGAAAACTCCAGAGAGTTACAGGGTTTCACTGGTACACTCAGCTGTGTGCTGTTTTGTGAATACCTCTGAAGAAACTATCCCAAAGAACCACCCAAAAGGATGGGAGGCAATTGGGTCTGGAATTGCCAAGAACCAGGAAGAGGGTCTGTTCCCAACAGTCAGAGTAAAGGACCTGTAAGGGTCACTCTTTCCCTGGGTCCCTAAGGGTGTGTGTATATATGTGTGGGTGTGCAAATGTGCATGTTTGTCTGTGTGTGATCCTAAGGCTGATGGGTTTTTATCTCTCTCTCTCTCTCTCTCTCTCTCTCTCTCTCTCTCTCTCTCTCCTGTAGAGGTCTAGCTCTTGCTGCTGGTCTGGGCCTAATCTTGTGGCTATCTCTGGACACCTCTCAGCGGCCTGAACAGCTGGTGTCCTTTGCAGGGATCTGTGTGTTCCTTGTCCTTCTCTTCGCTGGCTCCAAGCATCACCATGCTGTGAGTGTTCAGTTGACTACCCAGGCTGGAAGCCAGTGGATGCTCCTTGGGGGTTGTGGCTGGGATGAGATGGATGCCCCTATTGGGAGAGCATCTGAAGCTCAGCAATGTGCACTGGGACAAGTTCCCAATGCAGCTGTTGAGGGGCACATTGGACTGGCAACCCTAAGTGGAAAGTTATCTGTCTAAGAAGCCCTTGAATTTCCCAGTGGACAGGAGGCTCTCTGGGGACGATTGCTGATCTCTCTCCAAATTCACAGGCCACTGGAATTTATTTCCTTGGTAACATGTTCCTCAGGTCTGTTGGCCCAGGAACCACCCACCCCAGAAAATAGCGGAACTGAGTTTCCGGTTCTGTTGGAGAATCCAAGGGAATTGTGAAATCGTTAGCTTACAATAGTAGTTCTCCAGGTCTACTTCCCAGACCAGAAGCCACAGCATCTCCCCGGAACGTATTAGAAATGCTAAATCTTAGGCCTGACTCCTCACCTATTGAATTAGAAACCCTGGAGTGAGCCTGGCCTCCCAGGTGACTGGTACACGAAGTGCCCTGTTATGAGGGAAGTCCCTGTTGTACAGTACTGAGAAGAGATGGGCTCTTCTCTCATTGTCTCCGCAGCTGAGCAGCCATGCCCCAGAATCAGGACCCCTGTGTCCTTCAGCATGGCTGCACAAGTGTCAGAGGGAGGTATCAAGGAGTCATTCTGTGCTGAGTAGGAAAAGCAGCCCTAGGGCCTGGGCACTCCTCTGTCACATGGGACATCAAGAGACCTGAGGTCAGGGTGCTGAGATCCCATGGAGGATAGAAGGTGAAGGTCCAGGCAGACAGAAATCATACCCTGAGATAGAGAGGAGGTAGGCCTGGGCAGGCTCATGCCTATATCCGAAGGTCTGAGAATTGAATGTTATGCCATGCTCAAAAGCAGGTAAACTGCACATTAATCCGTAGAATTCTGTACTTGCCCTGTCTCACTGCTGCCAAGAGCCTGGCCTAGTCTGAATCCCATGTGATTTTTAGCAAGCTGGCCCCGTGCTAGGCTAGACCCAGGCAACTGCAGGCAGGACAAAGCTCATGGTGTCCTCCCTGCTCCCCCATTACCACCCCCAGCACCTGCCGTGGACCTGTGGATCCTCCAAGCCTCTGGGCTCACTAGAACCTTTCTGTTGGCTGGCAGGTGTCATGGCGGACTGTGTCCTGGGGCCTTGGACTGCAGTTTGTGCTTGGCCTCTTTGTCATCAGGACAGAACCAGGATTTGTTGCGTTCCAGTGGCTAGGGGATCAGATCCAGGTGTGTATGTTGGGTCCTGCTTCTGGGGAGTTGGGGAGAGGCCACTTGATTCAGGGAAGATCAGAGAGATGGATTGGAACCAGGAAGATTAGAGCCCCATAGCTAGGGTGAGGATGTGGTGCTGGCCAGGAGCTTGCAGAGGCCACCAGCCCAAAGAACCCAACCATTCTTATCCTTTCAGAGTCTGGGTCTGGTGTTGAATGGATTCCCAGATGGTGAGGTTCTCAGGGTGTGCAGATGCCAGGTCATATGACCTGCAGTGGTTTTCAGTGGCTATATATATATATATGTATATATATATATATGAGCTCAAATTGCTAACAAAGAAATTACCCACTTGGCACTTGGATTTAGAAATGATGTTTATTGAAGTCATACTTGGTTTTGTTTTCTTTTTTTTTCAGCTGCCTTTTTTTTCTTTTTAGACAGTGTCTCGTTATGTAGCCTTTGATGGTCTGGATCTCACTTTGTAGACCAGGCTGGCTTCAAATTCACAAAGATCTGCCTGCCTCTGTCTCCCAAGTGCTTGGATTAAAAGCATGCGCCATAGTGCCCAGTTTATATCATCTGCTTTTTTTTAATTCTGAGTTGTTCCACGTGAAAACTCTTGGAGTTGGCCTGGCTTAGCTTATGTGCATGTGTGCATGTGTATGTGTGTCTTCATGGTGTAGCTACAAGTGTACATGTATGTAAAGGTTCGAGAACAGTCTTGGGTGTTGTTCCTTAGGCAACATCTCTTTCTTTTGGGACAGGGTCTCCCACTGGCCTGGAGCTTGCCGAGTAGGATGGCTGTCCAGAGATCCTGAGGGTCCCTGTGTCCACTTCCCCAGCACTGGGGTTATAAGCACCTGCCCCCACACCTGGCTTTTTAAAACTATGGATTCTGGGGATCAAAACTTAGGTCCTTGTTCCAATGAGGCAAGCACTGTGCCAATTGAACTAGTCCCTTCAACTTCAGTGGTTGTTGTTGCTTTACTCTTTGAGACAGTCTCACTGTGTAGCCCAGGCTGGCCTTGAACACCTGGTAATCCCCTGCCTCAGTTTCCCAACTGAGACTACAGGCACGAGCTACTTACTATTACTAGCTCTTGAAGTTATATGTCTCTTTTGTTTTGAGAGCGTCTCGTGTAGTTCAGGTTAGCCTCAAACTCACTATGAAAAAGTATATATAACATAAAGTTTACCATTTTCATGTTTGTAGGTTTCATTAACTAAACACTGTTGTTGGAGGCCACACACAGGGACTATGTCCCAGAGCTGGAACATCTTGAGGCAGGAAGGCCCGTGACTGTGGCATCCTTCTTTCTTCTGGGCTGGACCTACTCCCTCCATCCTGGTTTCTGGCCATGGTTTCCCTTCCTTTGTTCCTAGGCCCACTTCTTGTATTTGTGTTCCCCCAGGTCTTCCTGAGCTACACTGTGGCCGGCTCCAGCTTTGTCTTCGGGGAGACTCTGGTCAAGGATGTTTTTGCCTTTCAGGTCAGTTGATTCTTGCTCCAGCAGGGGTTGACAGCTGCTGCTCAGGTCCCAGCTGAGCTGAGAGGAGTTGCGCTCAGGTGATGAGGGTTCCTGTGGGCACAGCCTGCTTGTCTGGTGACACTTGGGCTATATTTTGTAAAATGTGGGGAAGTTTGCTACTTCTGCATTACTTTTCTTAAACACTAATCACAGAACCGCTAGAAGGCTGAGGGCAAGAAGTGGGGAGGGACTGAGAGACAGCTCCCAACTTGCTGCAGGGACACTGGCTCCATAAATGCAGTTTCCTGTCAGGCCACCTCCTTAACCCCTCACAGCCAGCCTCCTCCACAGAAGCTTCCCAACCGACATAGGCTACAGCCATAGGCTATGGCCACAGGCTACAGCTCCCTCCCTCTGTCCTCCTCTTTCGTCCCCCTCTTCTCCCTCTCTCCTCCCTCTCTTCTCCTGCTCTCTCAACATTTTATTGTACATCTACCATCATGCAGAATATTATAGGAGAAATTAAGAAAAGTTACCCCTCTGTTTTCAAGACTCCATTGTCTCATGGCAGAGCCCAGACAGGCCTAGTCTAAAACAGAGCAGCTCATGTTGGGGACACTGCTGATGTGCCCCCCCCCCTGCTGTTCTGGAGTTCTGATTATATTTCTTTTCTCTTCGGTAACCTGGCCAAGCCTCTGAAATGCCTTGTTTAGTGAGGATTTTGCTCTAGTCCCCCCCTTTAGTATAGCCTGCTTTACAGCCAAACTGTGTAGAGACCCTGAAGCTCACTCCAGACTTACACTGCATTTCCAAAAGCCAGGCAGAGAGAGTGACAGCCTGGCCCCAGTGTTTTGCCTCTGATGCCATAGTAACAAGGAGATGAATCATTGTTGCCAGTCTAGACCACTAAACCCATGGAAGGGTTGTACAGACAATGCTGGTAGGTTCTGAAGTTTCTGCCTTTAATTCTTACTCTGGTTGCTCTTCCCAGAGCCTCTCTACTCCGCTGGGGATGTTGGACCCAGGGGCCTTCTAGCCTCAACTATAGACTTCTGGGCGTGTGTAGAGCCAAACCAAGAAGTCCAGACCTTTCTCTTGGGCCTAAACCCTGACCTCTTACCAGTTTTCCTTGAGGCTCAGTGTCTGTTGTGCCAGCGACCCTTTGAGGAAAATCCAGCCTGTCCAAAGAGTTTGAATGATGCCAGTGCTACAAGGAAAGGGAAGGTCTCAGATTCCTAAACTCTGCCTGACCCTGGGCAGATTTGCCCCGGAGATCCATCATGTATACAGATATCAGGATGGGCAGCCTTGGCCATCCCACAAACTCACCCAAATACCATTCCCATAGGGTGTGGGGAATGTTCTCTTTATATCTACATCACCAAGTAGGGGGTACCCAAAGTTCCAGGGAACAGAGGTGAAGATTGCTGCAGGTCACTTCTTGAAAGAACCTCACAGCACAGCCCTGACAGCTTCTCAGCTTCAAACAACATAAGATGGCCCTACCTGCTTCCAGTGTGGAACAGAGGTGAAGATTGCTGCAGGTCACTTCTTGAAAGAACCTCACAGCATAGCCCTGACAGCTTCTCAGCTTCAAACAACATAAGATGACCCTACCTGCTTCCATTGTGTGGGTTCAAGTGCCTGAGGCAGACGCAGAGCCTGCAGGGGAGAATGTGTCACTAGGGATGCTGAGTGAGACTCCCTAAGGATGTGGAGGAGTCAGTCCCAGGACACTGAGGATTGCGAGGTCCTGGAGGTGGAAGCAGGATGGTGGTAGTGTGGTAAAGGCTTGGAGGAAAGCTGGTGCATCTAAGGGACAGGGCCAGCTTCAGTTTGAGGCATGAAAACGTCTGGAAGGAAGTCAGAGATGGTCTGTGATTTCAGTGGGACTCTGCCTTGAAGAGTCTTATGCCAGGCAGAGGCATCTGGGGATCTTTTGTTGAGACAGGGCCTGGATGTAGTCCAAACTGGCCCCAAACTTTTGATCCTCCTGAGTTCTGGGATTACAGGCATGTGCCACCATGTGTGCCTGGCACCTGGGTCTTCTCCACTAAAGAGGAACCACTGAAGAGTTTTGAGCAATCCCAACTATATTGCTGGTTAGTTAACATGTCAACAGCAGATAGGAAAGATAGTAGGCAGGATGCTGGTGTGTGTGCTGGGAAGGGACCCAGCAAAGAAGATGCATTGTCATCTAGGGATGCCAGGTTAGGGACAGCAGACAGCTGTGCATCATTTAGCCCTCAATCTTACATGTTGCTGTTGCAGTAGCATTTACCATTTGAGGACAAGGCTTGGTCTTGCTTTGCATCCTTCGTTCAGCCTTAAGCCTCACAAAGCCATGCCTGGGGGCTCTGCTGTTCACTGAATGAATGAAGTAAACAAGTGGTGGCTCTGGAGTAGACGTGGGAAGTTTCCCTGTGTCTGCTAGGAAGGGTGTGCAAGGGCACCATGTCCCAGTAACTGACTATACGGTCCTGGTGTCATTTCCCTGAACTACCTTTGTTTTTCAAGACAGGGTTTCTCTGTCCTGGAACTCTCTCTGTAGACCAGACTGTCCTCAAACTCACAGAGA